ATACCCTGATTGAAAGCAAAATACTAGCTCCTTGAACTCTGTAAGGAGGAATCAATCCTTTTCAGGAGCCCAGGTCAAAGAATCCTTTCCTGTCTCCTTCGCATCATTTGTCTGAAGCTTTTTTGGAGGCATAGTAGGCTGGATTATAGTTGTCACTCAAATGAGTGGAGTGGAGGAAGGGTGTTGTCAGTGAGTGAAGTGACAGAAAGGAAGGGTGTCATTGGTGAATGGTTGAGAAGAGATTGTGGGGACCAAGTGAAGCTGGAAGGGGTTGAATGCAGTTGGGAGAATCCAGAAAATGGATTCTGAGAGTCAGTCAAATCTGGTAAAACAAGATTTGTCAAAGTTGTTTAAAATCAGATTTAAATTGGATTCTGAAGTTGGTTTTTTGACTTCAGAATCCAGTTCCTTATGGTACCAAATGAGGTTGTGGTTTTGGGTATTTACCCAACTTCAAACACAAATCTGAAGTTGGTTTCCAAACAGGCCCATAGTATGTCAACAAAGAGCCCATGACTAGAATTTTATTTTTATTTTTTATTCTTAAAAAAAAAATAAAAAAACATAAGCACCCGGTATCCAATACATCAAAAGCCCTTTGCTGGGATTGGACTCCAATCTCAACTTTCTTTCTACCAGTTGAGATTGAAAGAAGATCAAGCATGGTGAGGTTGGTCTAGCTCATGTTTGAGCTCTGTACTTACATACACCACAGGAGGGTGTAAATGTGTGAAAATCTAATGGTTAGAGCATGGTTTTAGAAATTGGTTATTATTTTAGGCCTAATAATTGTTCCAGGCATGAACACTGCACATTGTTTTTGAGACAGCTTTTCTATACCAATGTCAAAAAGGTCTTCAGAGGTACCTTAAGCTTACACTGCCCTTTTTGAGCCACTCTGACTGACACATCTCATGTGTTTCCAGACCATTGATGTTTAAAAGTTGTCAGATGACATGAGGTCATTGACATCTATAATTTAGAAAGCAATTGCATCAGACATTGAAACTCCTGTCTGTTAGCCTGACCAAGACACCATGTCTGACACTACATGCAAAATGCTGACATATACCCAGTAAATGTCAATGTGACATTTACATGTACATGTGTACGTCAGGGGTAATGTCAGGGGCAACATCAGGGGTAATGTCAGTCACTGTAGCTATAGTAGCCCTCATCTTATATGAGTGTTCTCCGCCTCTTTTTCACCACACCCCACTCTCGTTCATCATGCATGACTCCTCAACCCACCTCAGGACTGTCAATCCAGGCCCACATTGTGCATCCAATTGGTCTTGAGTTTTCCTCTTTGAGAATGTCCATTTGAGTCAATAAATTGCAGATCATAACCCAAAGAACACAGGCACACAACCAGGGGTGGCAACAGCATGCTGGAGAAAGTTGGGTGTGTGTGGGTTTGATGAGTGTTATGGCACATGTAGGGTACACAGCTTTGCCAAAGCCCAAACCAGGGTTAGGTTAAGCCAAACCCGCTAGACTACTGTGCTCACTTGGCAAAGGGCAGTCTGGTCAACTCATCATTCCTGACCTCTGACAAGTGAAGAGAGAGAAGAGAGAGAGAACCTCATGTGTGTCCCATGATAACAGGTTAGAGCCTGCAATTTACTGCTGTGTGATCTCAGAGCAACCCAGTGAATGGTGAAGACAAGAGCCAAGGATTACGGAGACAGTGATCAAAAAGGCAAAAGCGAAAGTGAACAAGTGAAGAGAGAGAAGAGAGAGAGAGAGAGAGAGAGAGAGAGAGAGAGAGAAACTCACATGTGTCTTGCAATAACAGTTAGGAAGTTGAAATAATTGACAAAGGTGAACATGTAATGTATAGTGAGGATAGTAGGTATATGTCAAGCACTGCCAAGATATTTGTATTGGATGGGCCTATCCGATGTTCTATCACCCCGAGATATGCGATGCAGTGTCAGTAGGATTAGGTGCGATGGAATTACACTGCAATATGGTGTCAGAGCATTAGATACCGATAGTAATTCCATCGCACCTAATCCTACTGACACTGCATCGCATATCTTGGGGTGATAGAACATCGGATAGGCCCATTTGATACAAATATCTTGGCAGTGAAGGTGTGCATCAGTGTGCAGGTCATGGCCCCGGACTGATGCACATCACGTTGATGTTTACCAGGTAAATGTCAGCATTTTGCACATAGTGTGAGTGGCTAGGGAGATGCCCTACTATTAGATTTGAAATCTAACAGACAGGAGTTCAAATCTGCCAGTGTGGGTTCAAATTGCATTGATGTCACTTTTTGATGCTTGGAAAGTTTGTGTGCTCCCTGAATTGTTTGCTCCAGGTCTCCTTTTGCTCCTCTTGGCCATGACTGTCTTTTTCTCAACATGCAGGAGCTTTGTGTGCAACATGCAGGCATAAGGTGTGCAACCATGTGGTCTAGGAACTTTATGTGACACAGTGATAGTCACCACATGCAAAATGGTGTTGCAAAACCTGTTGTGAAAAGCTGCTTCCCTGGTTGTTGCAGGTGTGGTGGTGTCTCTCCACATTTCTCACTGTCGCACTAAACCTTTGTGACACCACCTTTGGTATCACAAACTTTTGCTGTGACAGAAGGCTCCTGATGTGACATTCAGCTCTTATTAGTGTATGTTAGTGAGAGATGGAGATATGCAAATAGGTTTGGAGATCTGCAGCTCCCTGGCCTTGTGAATTTGCAATTAACACCCTGTCCATATCAAGGTGACTTGTTGATGAGAGCAGACAAAGAACATTTTTAGTTCTCTGATTGTTCTCATTTTCACCCAGAGCTAGCACATGAGTCTTCCCTTTATGCAAAGTAACTTCCTTTTCTTTTCACTCAATGCACCATGCACTGAAAGGTGTGTACTGTATGCCTGTGTATTACTGCACAGTTCACAATCATACTGATGTTCATGAGCTGACATCATGATGAACATGGATAAGTGACTTGTATTGAATGGACATGCACCGCCAGCAAAAATTACTCGGACAAGGCTGTCCGAGAACACCTCGGACAGCCTTGTCCGAGTAATTTTTGCTGGCGGTGATGAGTAACAAGGGTGGGCTTGAGCCCTTGGGCCACCACCCCCCAGACACTAAGGCACTGGATTTTAGAGGGACTCTGAGGTGATTTCAAACATGACACCATGTGCTCTCATCAACAAGTCACCTTCATATAGAAGGGTGTAATGAATGAAAGATGTAGCCAAGACTGCATTTCATATGAGAGATCAACCAAAAAAGCCCCCATACTATCATATAACTTCAAGGAATTTCCTTCCTGTAACCACATCTTTCACCCTTTTTCTTACTTCTTAGTATCTGTATCCCAATTCATACTTGAACCTCACAAGACATCAAGTTTTGGCCCTTTTCTAGTAATTTTGCTAGCACTCTTAACCATTCACACATCCTTACTCAATCCTCAACCAATCTCACTGCCAAGATATTTGTATCGGATGGGCCTATCCGATGTTCTATCACCCCGAGATATGCGATGCAGTGTCAGTAGGATTAGGTGCGATGGAATTACACTGCAATATGGTGTCAGAGCATTAGATACCGATAGTAATTCCATCGCACCTAATCCTACTGACACTGCATCGCATATCTTGGGGTGATAGAACATCGGATAGGCCCATCCGATACAAATATCTTGGCAGTGATTCACTGTCATCTTCATAACCCTTTGGGTACGAAATTCCCTAGTACTGCTCTGAGTCAAAAGAGTCCCAGAATTCCCTCATAGACTGAAGGCCTTGACATGTGAAACTTGCTCTCTAATCATGAAATAGGATAACCTAACAAGACAAGATCAATGAGAGAAGTGAGGATGAGGTTATAGTTGAAATGATAAAACAAAAACAGTGTTCATCTATTCCAGTAATTGGGGATCCCATTGGAAAACTTGCATATGGTTTCAAATTGAGCTCTCTCATAATGATGGTATCCAGAACCCAAAAATTGTGTCCCAGCAGCATCAACAAAAGCGCCAAAAGAAGTGTCTGAGACCCTCAAAGACATCCTTTGTGGGCCTGTATGTGTCAAACTTTAACAGTCATGAATGGATTATTTCCTACCACAATTTGGTGTCACAGACCTATGTTGTGACACCAAAAGCAGTGTTGCAAATGACATCTGTGACAGTTGACAGGTGTCACTCAAAAAATTCATCGCCAACAGAAACTGCAACAGCCTGTCCAAAGAAAAGCTGTGGCAGCATTTTGCAGCAGCGACATTCATGGCCTTATGGTCTAGTAGCATGATTTTCCCTTTGGGTTGGCTTTCGGGCTACACATGGGAGAGGTCACGGGTTCAATTCCCGTTGAGGCCCTTCTTTTTTGGACCTCCCCAGTTATTTTATGTCTTCAAGAGTCTCACATAAGGAGTTTTATGAAATCATATTCAAATTTGACTTCAAAGACTCTAAGGGATATTTTTGAGATCACATGAACTACATCTGGAAGCTCTGCTTGAGGTGTCTTGACAAGCTCATAAATCTATTTTATTGATGTTAAGATAATGCTGTAACTGAATGTGGACATTCTTCCAGCTTGCATGATGGTAAGTCTGCTTTGGGACAGATGGTTCTAATCTCCAATGTTTCATGTTTGCCTATAATTTCTTTCTACCATCCATAGTAGTTGCTGGAAAACTTCAATTATTATGATGCTGATTGGTTGGAACCCTAATCTAGATAGCTTGAACCATCTTAAACCTAACAAGGTCCCTCCAACTCCCACCCAGTCACACCCAGTCTTCATCTCACCCTGCCAAGCAATCCATCCATCCACACATCCACTTCTCAACCCATGGCTTTCCCTTCACTTCGACAAATCTTTGCGGCTTTCAGATCTCCCGAACAAGAAGCAGACCTTTCGCGGACAGCCTTCAATCGCTTCCTCCTCTTCATCTTCACTATTGCCTCAGTAAGCTTGCTGGCCAGCAAGGCCGTTCAAAAGGCCGCCATCACTTCCGGTTCTTGAGGTACGATCACCACTTTCAGTACATATACGTTAGTCGTCGTACCATGCTTTGGAAACCCAGCTTAACTTCTACCCATACCATTCAAGGTATGTCCAGATTTCGAACTTGCGTTTCTGCGTTTGTTGGCGGTTGTTATCAATGATGATCTCCGTGGGTGGTTATCCCATCAATGGGCATTCCATCAGGGGAACTCAAAATGGATGATGAATCTTGGAATGGCATCTAGATCACGAACCACTGCGTTCTGAACCGTTTCCGATCGCTTAAATTGTCAACTGGATCCTGGTTCACAGTGATTTGATCGCTCGTGCCGTCGATGCTCATTCACATTGAAGATTGTGAAAAAAAAAAAAAGGCCAGATCTGAGATGACCGTCAAGGCAGAATATATCCCTTATGAACCTGTCCTTGCGTTATATGCACCCTATTCAACTCACTTGGCACAAAAATTTATGGAGGATAGAAGCTGATAAGCTCGTTTACCTTTGACCTTTATTTCGATCGGCGCATAGACAAATGGTGTTATGTAGTAGCAGGGATTTGATATTCGAGACTTTATCGAGGAGCTGTCATCTGATCAGTCTTCCATAACAACAAGTTCTCTGGATTCTCAATTTTGAAACGCGATGCCGTTTTGTTGGAAATTCCATCTGTGCGGCTCCTGTAGTCATGTCACGTTTTCCATCTGCGTCAAAGAACCTGGTCTACGTGTCTATCTGAATCTATTCTTTGGCGAATGATTGTGTTTTCGTGCCGGCCGGTCTTGTCTCTGTACCATCCATTGAAGCGCAACCTGTGTATCCTCAATCATTCACCAGTTGAGTGTTGAAGGATGTTTGTAAACCCATGTGTATCTAATTGGATTGGATAGAGTCTCATGGAGCCCCAAGCGAAGAACGCTATTACATAGTATCTTGGCCTCTCCTATGTCGACGACTCGAAATTGGTGTCAAACAGGCTCATAACAGCCGATAGCATTCGACAAGCTGACGTACGGCATGTGGTGGTGCCATATTTCGAGTCAGGCGCTCTCACCCACCGGTCATTGCGGTAATTTCGTGAGAGAATAATTGCTTTAGCCGTATTTCCTTTTATGGCAGATGACAAGCTGCTGATGTGGGAAGTAGACTGTTTTACTTGCCATAAGCTTTACCCGGGTTGAGAGAAAAAAAGAAAAAAAGCCAGCGTGTTTTCCAAGTTGAACTATTTCCGGAAGCCCCGAAGAAGCACAACCATCAGAGGAAATTCCAAGACCCACACGCTTACCTTTGTTTGATTGAGCGTCTTTTTTGGTTTTAGAAACTTCGTCCTCAAGTAACCAACGCGCTGAGATGTAATCCTCACCTCTCGAGGCTCCTGAATCCGGATGTGATTCCCGGAACTGGCGTATGGTGATAAGTTCGACTTCAAGCTATTGGCCTGATCCGTCAACGTGATTATTGATAGGGAGAATGCTATCAGGATCGTGAATGTCCCACCTTCAAAGCCGAAGTGTTTCGCGTGTCCAAACTCTTCATCCTCTGATTATTGGCCATCCTAGCTTATCCATAAGAACAAAACATTCACTCTCTCGCTCAACCACACACGCTTTCACTTCATTTTACATGGCGACCAGAACCGCTCGTCCTCGTCGTCGACCGGTACCTCCACTTCCGACAGGACGAGAATTGAGAGCTGATCCTGGGCAGAATCCATCTGAGCGGGATATCTCTCAGCCCTCTGAGGTTATTAATCAACCAACAAATTTGTCGATCAAGAAAGATGATCCGGTTTTGAGAACATCGCTAGACGACAAGTTCAATCAACGCCAAAGCATGAGTCTGTATGAAGTTCCATTAAATGGTGAAATCGTTGTTGACCTTAGCTCGACGGGTGATCTTGGTGTTAGCCAAGAAGAAAATCTTGGTGGCAAACTTGAAGATGTGTTCTCAAAAAACCATGGTAATCAAAACCTCGTAAACAAGGATCCTTCGTTCAAACGACCTCTTGAAACAAACTCGAATGTTTTAGATAGGAGGATTGTTATGGGAGGAGTAAACAAGTTTCAAGAAGAAGATAAAGCTAGTATAGCCTTCACCGATCAAGCAGGTTTAAGTTCAAAGAGATCTTCAACTTCATATCGTAAAGGTCATGGCCGTGCTCCGGGTCTCAAGACACTCTATGGCGGTAAATCTTCTGAGACTACGATACTACCTTCCTATACAAATCGAGTGGAAACATCAAAGCCTCATGATACCGAGGAATTTCAAGGAGTCGAATTACCCAAAGTCCATAAGGCTTCAGTTGACGTAAGCTTTTTTTTTTTTTGTCTCTGATTAAAATTCCATGACTAAAATTAAAAAAAAGGGAATAAAAAAAAAAAAAAAAAAAAAAAAAAAAAAAAAAAAAAAAAGCAAAGGAATTTTGATCCTGATGATGAACTGATATCTGTAACTTTTCTAGTGGCGTAAACGCTTATTAGCCATTAAAGAAAATAGTCATCAATTGACGCTTACTGAAGAAGATACATTTATACAGCCTGACGTTTCATCTAATGAATTTTTGGATGATAAAAATTTAATGTCTACCCAAGTAGTAGATAGTGTTGTTCAACTTGACTCTGAAAAATTTGGTGGTAAATTTAAAGAAGAAGAAGAAAAAGAAAAAAAAGAAGGAGAAGAAGAAGAAGGTTCGAAAGAAGCGGATTGGGCCAACAATCTTCAACAAGACCCTGATGTATGTAACAATTCTGAAGTATTATACACTATGTGCACTAAATCTTGACTTTTTTTTTTTTTTCTCGCAGACTGGATCCCACATTATTCATATCTCCAAGCGAAAAGGGACCAGATTCGAAAGGCAGCAGATGTTACGCTTTTTACTAGGCTTAGCAGCCTCATTAGTGTCAATTTTGATGGTCGTATTATATTTATACTTACGATACACTTTTATCCTCGAAGTTACTGAGGTGATGCCTCAAAATTACACTTCTGCGTGGTTGTTATTGGTAGTTGAAACTATTGTGTGGACTTCCCTTGGTATGCCTTGTACAAGTTTTACATCATATCCTTTTGAAATGTAAGCCAACTGTTGTGCTAATGAACTTTTTTTATTTATTCATTTTCTCACAAACAGGGCTGGCCTCAGTCTTTGATGTCTTTTCACAAGCACCGAACCGTAACGGTGATGTTTCTAGGCTCAGAATTAGGAGTGAGACTGATTTACCTGTTGTAGACATCTTGATCATCACTTCTGGTTATTCCGATGATATTGTGATGGACACAGTCGCCGCTACTTTGGCGCTTGATTACCCACCTTCTCGTTACCGTGTAATGGTTATAGATAACTCTCAAAGTTCAAGTTTAAAACATCGAATCGAACTTTTTCGGAAGCGACCGATGAACTTGTCCTATCATCGTGTTTCGTATGATCATTATATAAAGCATAGGTGTCACCCAACTGGATTTGCTGTTTATTTTGCTTTACAACAGCGTAGCCCACGTTCCCCTAGTCCATATATTGCGATTCTCGATGGTGATGTAAGTTTTATATATATATATCTTATAATCTTCTTGAGATTGACTATGATGAAAACAACCATTTTTCACTTTCTTACAGATGATTCCCGAAGTAGGTTTTTTACGAGCGTTGGTACCCCATATCACACAAGATGCTTCGATAGGTCTTGTGGCTTGTAGAATGTCCTATTACGATCTTCCTAAATTTATACCTGGTCCAACTGCATCACTACTTCAAATGACCGGAACCCTTTCTCGTCCAAATCACGTCACACTACAAGGGATAAGATCAGGAATCCTTTTACGTCGTTCAGCAATGAAGGACATTGGAGGGTTCCCGGTTTATTCTTGTATAGATGATGGAGCTGTTGTTGCTTTACTGTCTCATAAAGGTTACCGTAGTGTGATTGTGAAGGAATCAGTTCAATGTGGTATGGGTTACCCATCGGATTTTGTGATCACAACCCGTCATGCTTCTGCACTTCGAATTGGAACTCTTAAAATTGCACTTTCGATTGATTCTTTGAGATTTAAAATTTTAGGATTAATTAAACCGATTTGTCAAATGATCTTTAGCTTTATCATATGTTGTTGTATCATTTCAATTCCAATTCAATTTTTCTCTAATCAAATTCTAATTCCTATTCTTCACATTTCTCAATTAGCTGGTTTAATTCAATTATCATTTTTGATGATCTTTTCGTTTGGTTTACGTGATTTAATTTGGTGTACTCGATCCAGTAAGCTTCAGTTTTTTTTTTTTTTTTTTTTTTTTTTTTTTTTTTGATCTACTTCAAGACTGAACGAGGAATGAAAATCTTGAAAAAAAAAAAAAAATTCTCAAAATAACA